TTTTTTTTTTTTTTTTTTTTTAATACAGCTTTGACTCTTTGGCCAGGTGGCCCTTTCTTCCTCCTTTCCTGTAAATGTTTCTTTCTGCTTGCCTAGTTTAAACAGGGAACTTGAGCAAGGCATTTCAGTGTAGTAGGGAGAGAGCCCTGAGATGGCCGTGTACAGAGGTAAGGGATAATGGTTCTGGGCAGGGGGAAGCTTAGCCCTTTGGGTGGGGCTGTGCGGATCTCTAACAGGGACCCACAGGGGGTTAGGTTTGCAGGGGTGGCAGTGAGGAACCTACCTCACAAACTTTCAAATTGGAGAACTTGGGAGTGTAGTGGGGCATCCAAGCAGAGCTGTCTAGGAGACATGCCAGCCCTCAAGAATAAAGGTGTGAGTCTGGGTGTAGATATAGCAACGGGTGCCATCCATGTGCCCTTTGTTACCTGTGTCCATGGATTATGGGGAGTTTGTTTAACTTTTCCTTTCTTGTGTCTTTTGATGATCACAAGGTTATTGTGAGGACCCAGCTCAGTATACATAAAATCTCTCTTTAAAATGTGTTTAATTTTATTTTTATATGTATAGGGCCAAAAGAGGGAATCAGACTCCCTGGAATGAGTTACAGATGGTTGTAAGCCACCATATGGTGCTGGGAATTGAACCTAGATCCTCTAGAAGAGCAGCCAGTGCTCTTAAACTCTGAGCCATCTCTCCAACCCACAAAAACACTTTTGTCAACTTTGAACCAGCTGTATTAGTTATCACCCTCATCATTAGTCTTAGGTGAAAATGTCATTTGCACAACCATTTGGGAGGTGAGGCCTATGGCAGCTACATGGAAATTCACAGTGCACAGGATCATCTGTTTGTTCCTTTAGCCCTAGATCAGCTGTTATTAGAACAACGGAAGCTGTATATTTTAAAAAAGCAGCCAAGCTAGCCACACTTTGAAGTGTTGTGCAATCATTAAAAATCACGCTGGTGGCAAGTCTGTAGAACAGGCAGCAGGATAAGGAGAGGGAGAAAACTTAGGAAGGGCACGAGAGCATTATCACAATCTGGGAAGAGATGTACCGGAACTACTGGAAGGAGCTGTGGTGGAGTACCAGCAGGGCCCCTAAAGAGCAGGACCTCAGCAATGTTTTCTTCTGCCTTTAGCCTGCTTTAAAAGTACTGTCATAACAAATATTACTTTGGTCACCAGGAACAAAATAAGCAATCATGAGATGACTTAGTGATTCAACTGCTTGCTGTGGAAGCAGGAGGATGGGAGTGTGGATCCCCAGCACCCACATAAGTGTTAGGTAGGCTACAAATGGGGATGGAATGGGACTCATGGAGCAAACTTGCTAGCTGGAGTAGATAGCACAGGGTTCAGCAAGATACTCTGCTCAGTAAATACAGTAGAGAGACACCCAGCATAAATATCTGGCCTCTATGCGTACACACATGCATGTGTACTTGTACACACATACACATTACACACCCTAGACACAATCGAAAAGAAATGAACACTCCCAACAGAGTATCCTTCTTCATCAACAAGGAACTGGCTGACTAGAGAATCAGAGACATTTTAAAAAAAATTTTCTTGCAATTCACCTTGCCTCAAAATGCTATCTTTTACCTGGCATAGCAAACATGCACCTGGAATGTAGAAACAGGATACAGAACTGAAATGTTCCCATACAGAGTCTCAACTTGTTTTCCTCTCTGCTATCTTCTACTTGAAGTTATGACGTGCATTTTTTTTTTTTTTTTTTAAATTCTAGCACTCAGGAAGCAATGACTGGCAGATCTCTGTAAGTACAAGCCCTGCCTCATCTACATAGCCAGTTCTAACTAGGCTAGCCAAGGCTGGATAGTGAGACCCTGTTTCAAAAGCCAAAGACACCTTTTTTAGTTGCTGGCACAAGACCAAACTAGTCAACATTCTAACATGGAAGGGGGAGAGGCTTGTAGGTCCCTACCTTCAAGGAAAATTTAACAATTGATGGTTTCTGGGAAGAGGGAAAACAGACTTTTTAAGGGTGTGGCCTCTGATAGGTGGACTATGCTTCAGTGGATGGCTCCATGCCTAGGAATATATGGTCAGCACAAACTAGTGGGTTATTTAATTTAAAAAAAAAAAGAAGAAGAAGAGGAAAAGAGGAGATGAACTGGGGAAGAAATAGATCAATCTGGAAGAAGGGGGGTATGATTAAAATACATTGTATGAAATTCTCAAAGAATTAATAGAATATTAAGAAAGGGTGGGTTTTTTTTTTTTTGAGGCAGTATTAATGTACCATAGACTGGCCTCAAACTCCCCCAGTAGCTGAGGGTTACCTTTAACTCCTGATCTTTTAGCCACCATCGATCCAAGTGTTAAGATTACAGGTATGTGCAACTACCTCAGTTTATTCAGTGCTAAGTTTCAAACTCATGGTGTCATACATGCTAGGTAAAGCACTCTACCGTCTGAACCATATACCAGCTTCTTCTTTAATTCTTTCTGATGGTGAAGTTTGGTCTTTATTTCAGTGACTGCTGGCCCTGTCAATTCTCCCTCTTCTTACACTTCTTGAAAGTACAGTGTGCTTGCGTGTGTGCATGCGTATATGTGTGATGTGGTGTGCCATTCCTTGAAAGACAGAAGGCAAGGATTGTGGACAGATTGGGGGCTGATCTGAGTCTTTGTTGTGATTCAGCCACCCCTAGCCCATTTCTCCTTCTGAAAACAACCGTCAATTACCTGTTACCCAGTCAGCAGGAGATGATATCCTTAATTTATTTTTTATTCTTAACTATTTATATATGTTTGAGTGTGGGGAGGGGTATAGGTGTTACCAGGGGCCAGGAGAGTATGTTAGGTTCCCTGAAGCTAGAGTTACAGCTGTGTGCTACCCTATGTAGCTGTTGGGAACCTAATAAGAATCGTCTGCAAGAACAGTTTACACCCTTAATACAGAGTCTCTCTCTAGCTCCGGGAGCCTTTTTAACTTGGTAGGGACTTCTCTTCACATTAGCAATCGTTACTCTTTGAATATGGAACAAACCCCATCACCTTTCATGTGTTTGAACGCTTGATCTCCAGCTGTCAGTGCTGTTTTGGGAGGCTGTAGACCCTTTGCGAGGTAGAACCTCATTAGAGGAAATAATTCTCTGGGAGCCGGGCAAAGGGCCTTGAGTCTTAGACCTTCATTTCAGTTCCCAGCCATTGAGAGATAAGAAGGTGAGGAAGCCCAGCACGTGCTCCTGCCACCTAGCTTTTCCCATCACACCCAAGTCCTTCCCTTGAGCAGTTTCCCTTGAGATATTTGATTGAGCCTGGGATATTGTTGGGCCATTATGGAGAAGTGACAGCAGGAGCATGGACCCCTGGGGTTTTCCCCCAAATTTTATTTATTTATTTATTTGATTGTTTTAGAAATCACAGTAAACAGCAAATTGGCTTGGATAAACTTTTCCAAGGATAACCCAGAATGCAAGGTACAGAAAGTGTTTGTCAGAATAGACTAGTTAGCAGTTAACTTTTGTTGAAATAATTGGAGCTCCCCAGCACCCCAGGCGCCTGCTAGCTTATGCCCGAAATAACAACACACAAACTGTATTCATTTAAAGACTGGCCCATTTCTATCTAGCCTCTTCTAGGCTAATTCTCACATATTAATTTAGCCCATTTCTAATAATGTGTGTAAGCACCCCAAGGTGCGCTTACCAGGAAGATTCTAGCCTACGTCCATCCTGGGTCGGAGCTGCCTGGGAGAGCGGAGCCTGGTGTCTCTGCTCCAGAGAGCAGAGCTGTCGAGTCTCTCTGGGAGCAGAGCAGAGTCTGAGCTCACTTCCTCTTCCTCCCAGCATCCTATTCTGTTACTCCTCCCACCTATGTTTTAACCTATCAGGGCCAAGGAGTTTCTTTATTGCTTA